TTCATATTATATTTCTGCCAAGCGAAATCTGTAGTTATAATGGAGTGACCTATTTGTAAATATATAGATGTACCACAGAGTAAGCAAATTCCCTAGGGAATGATTGACTCCTTAATGCTTGAAGCATAAGGTGATATAATATATGAAAGTCCGCGGAAAATGTATATTCAAGAATTAACACTCCTTTATAATAAACTCCTGAAGAGTTGATCCAGTACATCTTGCACGTGCATCAAACCATTATAGTACTGGAAATGCGGAACGGCCAAAATTTGATTTTACGGGAAATGATTATAAATATGGCTATCAAATGGTTGAGAGAAAAATATAAATTGAATATCAGTTGTCGACAACATACTTGCCTATGTGATTTCTTAACTGTCTCAAATAATGATCCGGATCAAAAGAATAGAAGTGCTAGAAGCGCTTAAGTTGATTGAGATAGAAAGAAAAATTGAGGCAGAGCTTTCACTCGCTACACGATATATCCCAGGAGGATAGCATATCCCAGAAGGATAATGAATATTTATATGAAACATGTGATGTGGTGGTATGACGTAAATATAGCGAGATTATGCTCATGGGTTTATGCAGAGACCCAAATATTTATAAGTTCTCTCATTAGCAATGATTCCGCAAGTTAATATTTATGGCAGCATCATTAACATGACTACCGAGTCATATGTGAAAAGTCCTGGATGGGCTCGAGTACCCGAGATGAACGATAATTAAATAGTTTAATTATTTGAAGTTGTTGGTAAGATGTGGTACAACCAACTAAATTCTTCCTGAAGAAGTAAAGTAAGAAATTCAAGGTAGAGCCTTGTGTATATTACTGGTAATATACAAAATGATCATCTCGGTCAAATAGATTAAGTGGTGAACACTATGTAAAAGATTAAATAAGTTAGCTCATGCTTATAGACGGAGTTAGAATGAAACTCTTGGTTAAATACCAAAGAGTATTAACTCGACTTGTAGATCGAGCATCTCCTAGAAGGAGTATTTTTTACCCAATCAATCTACTTGAATCTTTTTATAGAGATGTAAAATTATAACACCAATGAGTGTCAAATATTTAGAATTTGACAAAGATTTATAAACATCCAAAGAAACAAATGAGGATATTATAGGACCTGAAGTTCCGAATGACTTGAAGTCCACAAATGACCTGAAGTTTATTTACTACGCGCAATTGTGCTAAACTTTTATCACGCAAACTGCATCAGGCCTGATACTGCATTTGCGATGAATTTGCTAGCAAGATTTACTATTTCTCTCCGTAGAGAGATGTCGTGATAAATTTGAGAATATCCCATTATGCTTTCATGTATGTTGAGTTATCTTTGGACTTGATAGATGATATTGGTGGATAAAGACATAAACTGTATAATTGATCCCCGAAGTACTGGGTCCTCGATTGGTTATAGACCTCTTAAATGGTATTAACTCTTTACCATTGGTTATTTAAATTTCCCCATATTTATCTTGAAGATAACTCTGTTTGTGTTACACAAATAAATTATGGAAATACATTGGATGATATTTTTGAATCCATATTAACTCCGGAAGAGCAACCAATGACGATTTTATGTAGATACTCTTACCTTGAGGGGGAGCAACAAACATTTATAAATGTAACTTGAAATGCTCTTGCCTTCAGGGGGAGCGATAAATAAATCCTGAAGATCGAGCCCGGAAGGCTAATTGTAATCTTGAAGATTAGGTCCTGTTGGCCGGTGTTGTACTCTTTTTCCCTTAGCTATGTTTTTTCCCATTGGGTTTTACTTAGTAAGGTTTTTAATGAGGCAGCAAGTGTAACACATAAATATGCATACGTCATGTACTCTTTTCCTCGACTATTTTTTTTCCCACTGGGTTTTATAGCGAGGTTTTTAACGAGACATGGACATGATGTAGTAATGTCCAAGGGGGAGTGTTATAAATATATGTATATGGACATTACTAATTGATAATTGGGCCTGAAGTCCATTAGTTAGGAGAATTAGGTTTTAGGGCTTCCCACTTGTAAACCCTATATAAGGGTGATATACGATGAATAAAAATATAGACTTTTCTGTTCTTCTGTCTCTTGTTCTCTCGCTCGTTTCTCTTTACTTTGTTTAGTGTGGATGTTTGAGGATCCCAATTTACAACAGTAATCTCTTAATTTTAGTACCATTAAATCTCCGAACCGACCCTTAATGAGTTATGACTCCTACATTAGGTCCCCCATTTGATTAAAGGTGAATCAAAATTACAAAAGAAGAAAATAATAATAACAATAATAAAATAAATAAATAAAAGTACCAAAATGAGAGTATGGTTGGATACAAAAAACTTCAAAAAAAAATCCAACATTTTAACTCAACCACTTTTTTTAACTCAACTTTAACTCAACCTCACAATCATTAATATTATCAATATTATTAAATAATATCAATCAATCATTCACATACCACATCAACCTTAATTCACTATTCAACCACTCACATTATTTTAATTAACCATCACTTCAAATCATCTCTCTTTTACTTTACATCAAATCAATTTTAATTCTTTTATTTTAAATATTATTTTAATATACCCTACAACTAACCATACCACCTTTTTCAAAATTAACCAAACCAAATCAAAAAATTCAGCAACACCAAAAAATTTTATATCCAAACATGATCTCAATTTTACTCTTTAGAATTAAATTTGCAAGTCTCTATGGCAGCATTGGCAGGTTCGCTGCTGCTTACGGTAAAAAATTCACGGAACAACATGATAAAGCTCTTAGGAGGGTGTATTCAATTAGGACTTTTAAAGACTTTTTAAGACTTTTAAAAGTTAGGGGTATTCAATTGAAACTTTTTGAGCTTCTCATAAAGTTTGCATGTATTCAATTGAAACTTTTCAAGAGTCTCAATAAGTTACCCATTATTCAAGTTAGGAAGATTTTTTGAGACTTTTTAAAGTTGAGGATTCTTTGAGACTTTTTTACCTNTTATGATAAGCCTATTGATCTCAGATCTAGAAAACATGAGAAATTTTCACTCAGAATATTCTTGATTTTCCTAATAATAGGAAGTCTATGTACAGTCGTTGAAGCTTGCGTTGGTTTATCCAACGTTAAGCATGGGATATGTAGAGAAGCAAATTGAAGGGAATGGAATCGAAGTTAAGTCAGGAAAATGGCAATGACAAAAAGGATTGGAAGTTCATGTTGGTGATATTTATGAATTAATTACCTATGAATTTATATTCTACGATCTGCTTTGCATATTAATAACATTTGGTGATGTCTGGTTGATTATAATAATATCAAAGCAAATACATATTAATACAAGTGGTGATGCTTAGGTTGATTATAATAATAACATCAAAGCAAATATGTGTGGACTTTTTTTTGTAATTTTTTTTAAAGCAAATATGTGTGGATTAGGTGAAATAATGCATGTAAAGAAAATACGCATTATGTTGCATGTCTTGATCTGTCTCGTGGATGTTTTATTAAAAGCATCTGATCATGGAAAATTTTGATTTTGGAAGCTTATGGTTACATATTTCAATGTTTTGTGCTTTTTTTCACTGCGTAACAATTTTCTGAAAATTATTTGACATTCGAATTAATTAACATCAACCTATTTGCTTGTATATTTTTTGTGTGCTTGTTGGATTCTAGTTTTATGGTGATGCTTTACTCATAATGCTATTTGAATATTTTTTTGTGAGGAAGATAATGTAAGTGGGAGTCATTTTGAATGATTTTGGAACTGGAAAGAAAAGTCGCAAATGCGTGGAGAATGAGTTTGACAACGAATATGTAGAATGATATTGGAAATAGTTGATGTATTGTTCATTTTATTTTTGTTTTATTTTTATTTTTCTACCTTCTATTGCACTCTTTTGGTTTTGGTTTGACTGTTGAATGTTTTTCATTTTTTTTTTTCTTGCTCAATGGATAGTGCTTAATGTCATAAATATTTTAAATTACTATTATTATTTTTAATTACTAATTTGACTTTATTGATACTATTTATTATGCACAAATTTTATTATGAGCATTTCATACAAATTCAGTTGTTATATTTAATTGTTATACGAAATTCTTGAAAGTCTCAAAATGTTCACATTGAAAGTCTTAAAAAGTCTCATAACAAATCTCATAAAATCTATAAAAGTCATTAAAAGTTGCATAAAGTCTTCAAAAGTCATCCTTTTAAAAAGTCTTAAAAAAATTTTAAAAGTCTTAATTGAATACACTCCTCGTGGGCTCATGTAAATTTACACCTGCTCTACAAAATCTTCTCCTCGTCCATTACATGTTTGATGAATTGATTCAACCGTAGGTTTTATTTTGATTCTGCAAACCCGATTTGTCGTCAATTCTGTCAAGTGATGTTGAGAAGGATTATTAGTTTGACGCCTACTAATTTAAACCGAACTGCAAAAGCTTATTCTTGCCCACTACCTGTTCGACGAATTGCCCCAATAGTAGGTTTGAGCTTCTAATCCTGTAAACCCATTTCTATTCAACTCTATGTTCAACATTCTAAAACGTCTACCAAGTGATGTTGAGAGGATTTTCAGTTTCACGCGTTTTGAATAAAACAGAGACATTACTGAGGACAGTCTCCTGTTCGCCAATCACAGATAAACACAAACTAGCACCTCATGCAGTTTCCCTCCATTGGCATATCAAAATGTACGCGTTTTGGTCTTTTATTCCAAACGCGACCTTCCTCGTCCACCCGTATTTCCAAAGTGTTGGAATGTCGAGTTTATCTCACTTCAACCTGGTCCTGAGGAAAAAGTTTTGCACTTTGGACAATCTTGAGTTAGAAAGATCACCAGATACCGACGAGATTGATGATGTCGGCAAGGTCCATAAAACCATTTTGGATTACTCGAAACCCGAGTACAAAATGGAGTGGGCCCTCGATAACCTACGAGTCGGGTTAACGACGCCTCTAGTGGTGGAGGTCCTGAACAGGCTCCGTTTCGAGGAGAAACTAGCTTTCAGGTTCTTCACTTGGGCAGGCAACCACGAAAGCTACACCCACGAGCCCGAATCGTACAACAAGATGATCGACATCCTGTCCAGCACCAAGAACAAAGTGAAACAGTTCCGTATAGTCTGCGACCTTTTGGACCACATGAAACGGACTCGGAAAAACTCGGTCCCGATCGACACCCTCCTGAACATCTTGCGAAAATACACAGAAAAGCACCTGACCCACCTCCACAAATTCGCGAAAAAGAAAAAGATCCGAGTGAAAACGCAGCCCGAGATTAATGCGTTCAACCTGCTGCTCGATTCCCTCTGCAAATGCGGCCTCATGGACGAGGCCGAAGCCATGCTGACCCGGGTCCGGGCCCGGGTCAGCCCGAATGCTGACACGTACAACATCATGTTCTTCGGGTGGTGTCGGGCTCGGGACCCAGGTCGAGGCATGGCTGTGCTGGAGGAGATGGTTGATGCGGGCCACGGGCCCGATTGCTTCACATACAATGTGGCTGTAGACACATTCTGTCGGGCTGGGATGTTATTGGAGGCCCGCAGGCTTTTGAAGTTCATGCAAGCCCATGGGTCGGCCCAGTCATCCCCGACCGCCAAAACGTATGCAATCTTGATGGCGGCTCTCGTCCAAAATGACAGGCTGGACGAGTGTTTTGAGATTCTGGCCGAGATGATCGGGAGTGGGTGCCTTCCGGACATGTGCACGTACAGAGAGATAATGGATGCCATGTGTCTTGGCGGGAAAATCAAGGCTTCGTACAGATTCTTGGAGGAAATGGGTCGAGCGGGATATCCGCCAGATATCGTGACGTACAATTGTTTTCTCAAAGTTTTGTGTGATAACAAGAATAAAGATGAGGCCTTTAAGCTTTACTGTAAAATGAGTGAGTTGGGTTGCGTCCCGAGCGTGCAGACGTACAATATTCTGATTGAGGTGTTTTTTGGGTGTGGTGATGTGGAAGGGGCGTTTGGGATTTGGGACGAGATGGAGAAAAGGGGGTGTTTGCGGGATATGGATACGTATTGTGTGATGGTGGAGGGTCTGTTTGGGTGTGGGGAAAATAGGGACGCGGTTTTTCTGTTGGGTCGGGTGGTGGATATGGGAATGAAGTTGCCGTATAAGAAATTCGATTTGTTTCTGTCAAGGCTGTCTGAGATTGGGGATCTGAGGGCGATACAGAGGCTGTCGGAGCATATGAGGAAGTTTTACAATCCCGCCATGGCGAGGCGTTTTGCTTTGAACCAGAGGCGGAAGAGCATGAGCTTGAGAGGGAGGTAAGTTTTGCTTTGAACCATGGGGTTTGTTCTGTTTTTNTTCAATATTGTTCAGATGGTTTTTAACAAAACAGTCCTGTCTTGTTTGTTATTACTAAACAACACACTTTCAGCTTCTATTTTATTTTATTTAATTTCTGATTGCATTGCTGACTCCAAGAAACGGATTCAAATAAAATGACACATACTCTGAAGAATCTCAAAGGCCAGGAGAAGGTTTTACACATGAAAAGTAAAGTCAAGTTCATGCAGACTTCCAAGAAAAAGTCGATGAACCTCAGCATATCTCTGGCTTTTGATGTACAATTTATGTGATCAACACTCTAGAAACTGATGGTCTGTTCTTCTATCAAGTATAAGAAAAACTCTACACCTTAATCCATCTCAAATGTATCGACTCTTCTGGGTCCTTAAGCCTCCACAGCACCAACACAGTCGGGACTTTGCCTGGAATAGCCAGGGACGAGATGTTCCACCGCAAGCCTGATGGCCCTAATACCATACTACCCTGATCATAGTAATTATCTAAAATTAATAAAAAAATTGCTCAAATTATTTGTGTCTGTACTGAAAAGGAGCAATCTTTAGTAAAAAATAAAATGCAATAAGTCCCACTTCCCAAGCGTTCCTCGTCACAACACAAAACAAGCAAATATCTCACTTGATATTAAACAATTTCGATTTCCTATATAAAACAATCTACCTTCATAAATAAAAAGTAAATAAATTATATAATCAAGCCTTGATATAATATTTCATGTAAAATTCATTTCAGAATTTAATAAGAAACTCCTCATCCTATAGACTATAGTTTATAAAATTGACGAGATATATGTTATCCAAATAGAAAACATTATCTATTATAATTCAGATTTGAATCAATATGTAACTTTTTTCGGACGGAACAACTTCAACTCATATGGTAAAAAACGTCTTGTTTTCCAATGTCCAAAAATATTCACTGTGTTCAACTGTTCCTCAGCTTTTCCATAGCCTCCCTTGCATTACCAGCTACGAGCCTACGAGTGGTTTGGTTACCGAAATAATATCTCACTTCATATCAATTTGAATAGNCCTCAATTACTTAGTACAATCAATTGTTGTACGTACAAAACTATATAGTAAACTAAGTAAAGTCATATTCCTCTAGAGACAACACACCAATCAACCAACCAAACTCACCCAGCACACACAGTCACTGAAAGAGCATCCCTCCACAATCCTCTCAACATACGCATAAACCATAAAAACCAAAAAAAAAGAAAAAAATCAAATTACCAGTAAGAAAATAAAATAATAATATTGAAAAATGGAAAATAAAAAACCAAAAAAAAAAAACTATTTTCAGAATATGTAACACAAAGAGCATAGGAAGCAATTAATGTATATATGACGAAAAATCAGCATAGAAACGAGTCGGCAAACACATCATCATCAACAGGCTCATCCTTTGCCCTCGGCAACCGTGCTTCACCATACTCCAACAGAGGAATAGCCAATGAGCTCGTGAAATCTTCGGATCTCAAATTTTCGAAACCCATTGCTGGAATATCCGAGTCAAGCAGTCGAGGCAGAGGCATAACCGGGCCCACTACTGCATTGCTGTTGTTTCTGCTTCGGGCAGGCGGGACATCATGGTTGTGCTTCCCTTCGTATGTGGTTATCACTGCCCGAGAATCCTGGGCTGCCCGTTCTACGTGCTTCCTCACTTGGCATCCACCATTAGTGCACTTGTAATAGCTCCTAAAATTCCGAAAAAAAAAAAATGCACACAAAATCAAACAAGAATAGCAAGTATTTAGAGCCAGAGGCATGGTCAAGAAAATACAGTGGCTCATATGGAAATAGTGTGAGGGTAGAGTATTTTTTTCTTAAAATGGAAAAAAATTTGAAAGCTATTTTATACTCCATGTTATATTTTGTCATATAAAACACTAAGCTATACGAAATGACAACGTTGTACGTATGTCGTTTGTCAACTATCGAAATGCCAAATGGAATGGAATATATCCTGTGAATGATTTTTGTCGATGATTACAATGTAGCATGAAATTTCGATGAAACAGATGAGTTCCTTCACCTGGGATTGGGATTTCCCTTCACCACTTTCTGACCATATTTTCTCCACCTATAACCGTCATCGAGTATATCCACATCGCTCATAGTTTGAACGACAACTCTCGGTTCTCTCACTGTCGTCCTACTCTCCATTCCTGAAATACCTTCACTTCCATTCTCCCCTTTNAAAAAAAAAAGAAAAAAAAAAGAAAAAATCGAATTAGGCCACACATCTCAGTTCTTTTTCATATCACAATTCATAAATGACATTATAACTAAAACCATACCAAATTTGATGATATTTACCAAACAAAAAAAGAAACAAAAGTTTTTCAACTGTAAAAGCAGGATAACTTGTAAAAGTTTGGCACCATCTAACATTTTCTCCCTTGATGCAAGAAACATATGAAAAACACCTTTCACATCCAAATTTGAGTCCAAATCAAATCTCCTAAAGAAAATTCTGATCTCAACAACAAAATTAAAAATACTCACCATCTCTTGACATCATGCGCATCTTCATCCACTTCATCACAGCCCGACAAGCTCCTCTGAATGCTCTGCTCTAAATCATCATTAGATAACGATGAGTTCTCGGGCGTCCCAAGAAAACGATCAATTCTCCCCACAACATTCGACCCTTGAGACATCTCGTTCGACTGTGCACTGCATGACTGGAACACCACAGAAGAAGCTGACGAGGAGGATGAAGATGATCTCCTAGTCGACTGAGGCTTTGGGTGGTTATGAGTACCTCTGATCACAATTTCAGTAATTTTCCCATCTAAGGACCTTTCCACCTTTTTCTTGGTGGGGCAATTCGGGTAAGTGCATTTGTAGTAGCTTCTCGGGTTCTCACTCCCTTTCACCTGTTTCTGCCCATATTTTCTCCAGTTATACCCGTCTTCTTCTGACTTTCTGTTATCCTGTGACAAATGATTGTGCTCGATTTTTGAGTCGCTAGTTTGGATTGTGGAGATCTCGGGGGAGAAGCTCTGGACCGAGCTGAGCTCAGGCTCAAAGTTTGCTTTGTCAGATGTGCTGAATTCGGGATTGAGAGACTCGAGATAGCCCCACGGCTGATGTGCCTGATTTCAAAGAGTTAAATCTTTTAGGAGAGTATCATTCACACTGCAAGAATTGAATTGTGAGCATAAAAACAAGAAAAATGTGTAAGTCTTTTTGTAAGTCAGGCTGAAACATTAAACATACATAAGATGTTAGAGGGTTTGTTTGAGTTTGGAAAGAGAACTCGGGGAAGTTGTTTAGCTCATCCTTTATATCCTTTTGCTGGGACCTGTCAGAACTGTTATTGTTCCAGTTCGAACTCTGGACTGGAAATGTCCCGGTAGTTGGTGAAGGCAAAAGCTGCAATTACAAAGGAGAAAAATAATTCAAATAACCTGCAATCACAGGTAGGTGAAATCTTCCACCCAGTGTGGTATACAACTTTGAATAAAACAATATTTATTAGACATATAAACAAACACGTAGTCTACAATAAAGAAATTAGCTTTGCCGGGAAAAGACAAAAAAGAAGAACCTTTATGGTTTTCAGAAAATTGAACCATATAATTCAGATTATTTTTTTTTCCAGTCATTAGAGCCTATATGAAAATCTCACTTTCGAAAATCTTTGTAAAGAGTGATATGTATAAATTAAACTACGGAATGTATGGTCCTTTTGCTATATGATCATAAATCTTGAAATATTTAAAACAAACGAGGCTCACGTTAGAACCAGAAAGAAGAACAGGGGAATCCAAGAGCTCGGAAGGGCTAAGGCCAGGAGGCAAGGCAAAAAACGAAGAAGGAGAGAAGGCGGCCGCGGCCGGCGGAGATATTGGAAGCGAAGGCGGCGGAAGGGACTTGAACTTGGGGACGCCGTGGCCCGTTCTCGCCGACACCCGATCGCCGAGGCTGTTTCTCACAGCGGCGGCGGGGCGGCCGTCGTCGGAGGCGAGAAGGCCGGTGTAAGACATGAACTTGTTAGAATTGAGTGTGAATGGAGATTCCGGTGTCAACGCTGCCGAGGTCTCTGAGGTTATGAAGAAATGGCGGCGGACATTGTGCGTGTGTGTGTGTGAATTAATGGATAATTTTGGTATGTGAAAAGAGAAGAAAATGAGGAAGACGAATAAAGTGAAAATGTTCACGTAATTCCAAAATTATCGTTTTTTTAAAGGGAAATGTTATACGTACACCAAAAATATAAACATAAGTAGACCCACCCCACGAAATGTTGCACCTCTATCTACATATGTATTTATAGTATTTCTTTTATATAGTATTATATATTTAAGAAATAATATAGTTAAATGATACTTTATGAAGTGTACGTAACACTCACATTAAGTAGATTCTACAAAATATAAAATACTATATATCAAGTGGATCACACTCCATGTGACTGTTATGTACACCTCTATATATTTATTATGTACTTGTAGCATGTTTTTATATATTTTATCAAAATCTTATTGTGGACAAGGGTTAGGTTTGAAATTTGGTACCACCACACCTGGATTTTCTAGAATATTGAGATAATAAAGTTGACAATAAATTTATCTAATTCTTGTAAATCATGGCAATAATTCACCACATTACATATAATAAAATATTTTTAAATACAAATTTTCGTATGAGCAGTGTAACAATTAAATAGGTCGGCTGGTAATATATATATATATTTTTAATGAAAACGCATCTTTATACTGTAAATACTATATTTTTTTTTATAATATCTATTAATTATGTTGTTTATATATGGACAAATATTTTGGTAAAAACATATAGGTTCGACTAAGTCAACCAAGGGACGGACGGAGACCTATATGTTTTTATCAAAATATCTGTAAAATAATTATGTTTTCACCTATATATAATTATATTGTAAAATAATTACAAAGAGATTTTCTCAAAATTTAAGTTATTTATATTTTCTATTTGTATATGTTATAGGCAACATTTATAAATGAGTTACATCGATTTTCCGCAAAAGTCAACATTGATTTTGCTATATAAATTTTAGGAGTTCTAAAAATTATAATTATAAGTTTAAAATTAGCTATTAAATTATGTTTGTCATTAGTTTTTAATTAAAAAAATATTTATCTTTATAAGGAAGTCCATGAATGCTGACGTTGTGAGAATATTCAATGCAAAAGAAAAAATATATATTTAATAAGATCTGAATTTATGTAATTATGAGTGATAGAATATATAAGAACATGTATAAAATCAATATAATTTTTTTCTTTTGTACTTTGCCAATGTTATGTTTGTGGCTCTGAGTCTGTGTCCGCCCCTGAGTCCACCTACTAGTAACTCTACCGTTTTCGAAAAGCACTAGCTAAGTTTAATATTAATTATTTTTATAAATTAATCTATCCTTTTAAATCTTGAGAATAATTTTAGCATTTTACATATTCATGATTATGGAGATGACATTATATTATACGTGAACGCGTATGCAACTATTCATGAACACGAAAATGGAGATCTAACTATAATTAGAAGGAATTGTCAAAGTTGCAACTTTGACCGATATTTTTTAAATGAGAGAGGCGGCGGCTAAAAAGACATCAATTGTGATTGGTCCACATCCCAAGTTTCACCCAATATGATTGTGTATATAAACTTTTTAAGAATTTTGTTTCCTGGAATAAAAAATAAACAAAAGAAGAAGGTATAATATAATTTTTTGAATCAGAAATGAAAATTTTGAAATATAAAATAATNAAATTTTGGAAGATAAAAAAATCCAATGTAATAATCTTTTATAAGGACAAAACTGTTATATACACGCCTTTTTATTGAGGAATTAATATTCATTATCAACAACTAACATGTCATATGTAATATAAATATATATAAGTCATCACCAAAAATATCTATATTCTAAATTGTGTAATTTCTGAAATAAAAATACAAAGAATAATTCATTGAATCTCTCAAATTACATGCATTTCTGAAATTTACCTATAGAATTTACTTATAGTATTTTCTTTCTCCAAAAACTTAAAATGTTATGAATTATGTAGTTTATAAAGTAACTGTAAAATACAAATAATTCACTAAATGTCTTGGATTACTTGCATTGCATATTTTATATATATGAATTTACATAACAGTAACATACATTTTAATTTTTTGCATCAGAATTAAGAAATTTACATATCAAAATTCCCTATACAAATTAGGTAAATTTTAAGAAAAATACATAATAATTCCACATAATTCTTAAGTGCATTATAATTTACTCATCAAAATTTAATTACCACGTTTTTTTTAATAAAAAAAATCATTTGAAATGTTATTATCTTGCGTTCTTTATTGATAATTAAATAATTTGATTCAATTAACTTTGCAATGAAATATATTTGATTAAAAGACTACAAAGACTGGATGTGCTCAAATTATATTAAATTATTTTTATGATAAAATATCTATTTTGGATGTATTGTTATATAAATAAGTTCCACTAATTGTAAATTATCTCTCTTTTTTTGTTCCCTTCTTTTTTACAAATAAAAATGAAGAGCTTGGTTTCCGTATATTCATTTATTATTAAAAAAACAATAAAACAAGTATCTATTGGTGATATCTATAAAATATATATAATAAAGCTAAAAGTCGTTAGGCGCCAGCTAGGCGCTCGACCAGCGCCTGCCTAGGCGGCAACTAGTCGGGGCCCAGAAATCTATATTAAATACCTTATTTTTTTTTATTTATTTTAACTACCTACAGAATAAAACTATCTCAACTTATAATTAATTCACACACTAAAGTCCAAATAATAATATTAATATATATTAAAGAAAACATGAGAACAAAATAATATAATTAGTATTTAAAAAAAACTGAAAAATTGTCGCCGAGCCCGCCTAGCCGCGTGGCCGATTTTTTTTGTCGATTTGTGCAAATCGGAGGAACCCGGACACCGCCTAGGCCGATTTTTAGAATAGTGCTATATCTAGTGGGTCAAATGTAAGGTGAAGCGGATAAAAATAAAAATAAATTTCCCACAGAAGAATCAATTATTACGTATTTAATTGAAAAATAGTTGCATAATTGACCTTCAGATGATGAAGATTTAAGAGAAAAATCAAATGACTTATCATATTGTTTGCCAGCAGCAGATCTCAATTTTATTATGGCATGCTTTGATGCGAGATTGAAGGAGGAAAAAACAGTCTTTAAATTAAGGTTGAAAAGATTTATGAAGGGAAATAGGCCATGCAACACTTTACAGTAAATTAATGTCAAAAAGAGTATCAATTGTGTTGTCTAATTATTAACCGCAATTATTATCTCTTTTTCCTTTTAGAAAAATTTATTCCACCCCAAAATTTTTACTCAATATATTTGTCAAAATACACAAATATTTAATCGATAAATTACAGTCTATTATCCCTAACAATCTAAGAAATAAAAGTGACACACTTTTCCTATGTAAAGTTTTATATTTAAGAGTTGAAAGTTGAAGTTATTTTAAACATCACTATTTTGCAAATCGGAAAAGCACTACAAATTTGGATATCAGTTAATGCATATTTAGAATTATATCTGTACACCGTAAAAGCAAAATTTTGTTTTTTCACTTACAATATAAATATTGGTAAACTGGTCATTAATGATTTTAATGTATATTTAGAAATGCATGAATGCCCTGTTATATATTTTTTACCATACATATAAAAGGACATATCTAATCAACGGTTTTGCTATGAAGCCAACAGTTGGCTCCATAGTGGAGCCAACTTTCTATATACAACAAATAAACCTATCATATTAATAAAATTATATTATATTAGTGTTATACTAGGATTTTACATCCACGTTCCTATTTTAAGGATGATTCCCAGGTGAACCAAATATATATCAATGATGTTGTTGTTAGAACATCTCCAATGGCATCATGTCTATTTATATATGTATGTTGTGGAGAAAGAAAATAAAAATATTTTATCTCCAATGATGAATGTCAATTGTAGGAAAAATCGACACATGTAATATACTAATTAGTTGGTGGAGAGAGAAATATAAAATAAATAATATAATATAAAGTAGAAAATGTCTAGAAGTCTTTCTACATCCAGAAAGACTGCTAAAAATTTTAAATGCCACATTGTATTAATGGTGCTACGTGGCAATGAAATGGAACAATTCACAACCCATTGGAGATGTTTTTAATATGCCTATCTAACACACATATTTCTCAACATATTTATATACCTTTTATCTTCAAAAATATCATACTTTAAATTATTATATTATATACAAATTTATATACCTTTTATGTTAAAAAATATCATACTTTAAAATAAGTATACAATATTTGTGGGTGTGTTGTGTGTGTGTATATATATTTCCATTGGGCTTGTTCATTGTTCAAAGAAAATGATATTTTTGTGGCAATCCAATGATAGAAAAAAATCTTATGATTGTGTGTGCATCATTTATATATCTTCTGATTAAATTAATCTGGTGCCATTATATAATTCAGGGAAGTGGTGTCCCACGAAACCCAAAAAGTTGAAAGTGAGGCAAATGAAACAAGGTCTTTTGAAGTGATGGCCACGAAAAAAATACCAATGTGAACATATGTACAGAATAATATTTGTTTAGCTATCAATGAACCTTCCATGTTCTTGCTTATCTGCAACATGCCTTCCTCACCAAGCAATTTTATTTAAAAGAAAAAACCTTTAAATGAAAACAAAAAAACAAATACTAAAAATCAACACAGAAGGGCCGGGTAGAGATATTCTATTCTACCAAGTCAAAATCATCNTGAGCGACACTTATAATCCAACCTATAATTTAGTTGAATATATTTCAATGATTTTTATTTCTCGGTTGTGTCGTAAGTTGCGTATTTGTGTCGTTTGGATATGATACAATTAGAAAAGATAGAGATTGTAATAATAACGAGCTAAAATTATATTAATCTAATGAAAGCATACAGACTTGATGCATTCATTCAGAAGTCTTGTACAACAAGTTTCACAATAGCCAAACACTTGGTGAGATGTTTTCTATTTGAAATTGCTCCATTGTTCTCAGCAACTCAGAACAGATTATTGTAAGAACAAATATTTGCTTCCTTGTATCATATGAGCTTTTGTGGAAAGGAAAAGGAGAAAGAAAATGACAGAAACTACATGCTACAGAAGAACAAATTACACAAAAGCAGCTATATATATATATATCCTTAGTTAACAAAAATAGTTACTAAATTTAAGTGTAGACACTTTTTGTGATTTGTGAAAGTTCACTTCAAATTTTGAAGGACTTATATCCAAACTCAGGACTCGTCATCCCATCTTCCCAGTCTCCCATTCGACGCCCACCGAAAACTACCTGTTTGATGCCCAAATATCTGCACCATTTAATGAAAGGCCAATAATAAGAAGAGGGAAAAAGAAAAAGAAAAAAAAAATGGATAAAACTGCAATTTTGAAAGCTAACAAGATTTTTCTGTAAGTAGTTTTCTAAAGTGTACCCTAAAACCAGTTCATATAAGCCACGAGATAACGGGCAGTAAGTGAAAAAAAGGATGCTACTCGAGTGTTTTAAAGAACTGGGGCTTACTCAGAACTCAATACAGTCAAGCAATTGAGAAGAACATCGATGGAAAAGAAATCAGCCGTACCAAGGTCTACCCTGTTACCACATTCAAAAAACCAACATCACTTTTATATATATAGCAAAAGGGAACCCCCTAAATTGAGAAATATCGTACCAGACCCTGCCCCAGTTGTCCTGGAACTCAACATCACTTATATCGTGAAAAGACGAAGGCATAACCTTAAAACCCTTGTCTGCATCATACAGTGGATCATACTCCATTGACATGTTTGCCAACTGCATAACTTAAGGTATAATTAAGTAGCTCTCCAAGAAATTTTNAAAAAGGAAAAAAAATAATGCCATTACGCAAAGCTACCCGACAAAACTACCATAAGAAAGATACATGACACCTCAATTGGGGGAAAAAAGAGGCCTTTGGGGCATATAGAAAGTAACCATAATAAGAAAGATGAGTCTCAAGTAGAGCCTGAACCTGCAAATTGGCTGAATTAAATGCACCTAAACGACCCATGACATACCATGATTGAATAACCTGTAGCATGAGTCACAAATAGATTTTAGAGGCTTAAAGCTAATAATGTTCAGCATAAAGAGAAAAAAGAGAAACAAAAGACACAGAAATCTAATGCTTCAGAGCATGTAGTAAGAGAAGTCAGCATAAAGGAAACTTATGATACATACACTACCAAGAAGGTCAACATCTCGATCAGAAGGCGACCCGAATAACTCGAACCATATGTTGGAATCAAGTGGATTAAAACTGCAGATCACAAAAATAAACTTAAAAGCTTCATTTGGATACTAATAATTAATCTTGTTAATAATTAGGAGAAACTTGTCCAATAATAACAGGTTTCTCATGCAAAAATTACAAGGTCAGAGAGTACAAGGGTAATTTGGATACTGTCAGCAATATTAAATATGCCAAAATCAGCACTTGGAAACAAGTATATGGGAAGAGTAGAGTTCAAAGGCCCATTAAGGGTAGAGTTTTATGTATAAATGTAAATCTGAAGGCAAATACAAGGTTCATTACTCTCTAAAGCTAACTTTGAATGCAAGTACAGATCCAGTTTTTGATTTCTGGAAATCCCTCCCTTTCCTTCGAACTCTTTCTTCAACCTATCAAACACAAAGAACATCACTCTCAAACACAATTTTTTTTTATATGTGAGTATATACATTTTCTCCAAGAGAACATTGCCTTTTTTGTTAGAAATATATTAACTATATGTGATAATCGTCATCATAAAATAAAGTGGACAGATATTTCATGCAACTTCAAGGTTAAATTAGGTAAAATTTAGCAGCAAAGTTAATAGCTCAAGTCAACGAAGCCCATGCAGGAAAAGTTCAAAGGCCTACAATACCCTTGAACTCCTATGAGAAGTCATGATATGGATCCATTATTAGTTTATTACCTAAAACAATGGTGACTCATTGAATAACGGAAGCTATCTACCAGTTGCTTCCCGAATACATTGCAATTATGGAGATCATTCATTTTTCTATATAATTTAACCAAGCAGATGTTTTAGTTTCGCACTGAATTTGATCAAGCACTGTTTGGGACCTACACTGCTAATCCTAGATTCCCAAAACAATATATGCTAATTCATATAAATAGTAATCAGGGAGACTTCAAAATTGCTCTTCATGTTACTTCGTTTTACGGTATGTGATAACGTCTTGATATGGTGAGCCTAACAGAAATATCAAAAACACACCTCTTTTACAAATTAGATGTGCCATGATGACCCTTATAATGCAGTGACTTTAACCATAGGGAACCATAAAACAAGGAAAATCAACATAACTTGATCACAAAATTTCAATCAACATTCCAACATGGCGGACAGACAATTTTAAAACAAACAGAAACGGAAGCTTCCACATATTGAAAGAGAATGATAATTTATTTTTTTCCAATCAACCCAATATTCGATGAACTTAATTATAGTATTTTGCAGAAAGTACAACGTGACATTATCACTGAATTTGAACAAATATTAACTTACTCTCTTTCTCATGAGCTCAGGATTCCCAATGCTGTCCCCAAGAACAGCCCTAAGCTCAGAATCATTTTTACAGGCATTTTCCAACACCCTGTACATGATTCAAAGCAAACAATAAAATATTCATCAATATATACTACTGCAAATGCAAACTTAGAATAATAATAATAAAAAAAATAGATAACAAAAAAATGAGCTCATACTTTGCCCAAGCAGGATAACCGTGAAGACGCTCATAATCTCTTTTTCTCTTTTCCTCTCTAACTTTCAGTAAACGGCGTCCTCTTGCTGTCGTCCCAGATCCTTTGGTGGCCTTGCCTTTAAGGCCACCATCATTATCTTCACTGCTCGTGCTTGGAGTTGTATCAATAGCTTGATCGATATTTCCCCTGAAGTCCTTCTGTGCAGATGCAGCTACTGACTTTGGTAGCATGTGAGACCATTGCTTACTGATAGCAACAAGTATTCTTTTATTTTGAGGCGTTATTGATGGAAATAGAGTTGTTGAGAATGGACGTAAAGGGGAATGAAGTTCCTTCAATGCAGCGAAACATGAGCATTGTACATATGAACTAGATATCTCCATTTGCTTCCTGTGTTGATTTGTCTGCATTTGCGTCTCATTTCATCAAATTAAGCGAATTGAAATGAAAAAATAAAAAAGAATTGTTGAATGCTTATATTTCTTGATACATGTTACTATTGTCTACTACTCTTGTATTTTTTGCGCATGGACGAATGAAATTTAAGGATAAATAAAGTTTTACAAATCACAACATATATTTTCTTCTGAATCTTATTCTCTTCCTCTTGCAAATCCCATTTCATTCATCACTTCAACACGGGGAAGAGATACAACAAGTCCGAAAGAATCCAAGTTTCATTACTCAAAAATTCATAAAACAACCGAAGTATGTTTGGACTTCAAGTTCGATGAAAACGACGCCAGCACTATCTTCTACTAGGGCTTGTCATTTTAGCATGATAAAGAGTGTAGAGTTTTTTGGCATAAAAAATCTTATGACTGATAACTTTTACTCAACTACTTAAATTTTTTTATTTTGATATTTTGTAAAAAAATAAATTCGTTTTAGTTAATGAAACAATATAAGTTTTATATTTATACTTATTATTCACATAGGTTTTTAAATAGAAAAATGCTACAAGTACATAATAAATGTACATAGAGGTGTACATAACACTCACATTGAGTAGAGTCCACTTGATTTTTTATTTTTGTTAGAACCCACTTAATGTGAGTGTTATGTACTCCTCTATGTATAGTATTATGTACTTATAGCATTTCTCTTTTAAATATATAATAAAATTTTATCAATATAATTATTTATAGAATCAAATTATAGTCAATAGAATTTCTGAATAAAAATTTTGAAATGACACATATATTGAAATGAATATAATATAATTTATTATGCACGGGTTGTGTACTAATTTAAAAATAGACATTTTTATATAATTTTGCACAATTTAAATTTTATATAACATTTACAATAAATTAATATAGGTACATTGTATTACATACTGATTCCTTGTTTTAATTTATAAATATTATTTAATGAAAAAATTTAATTTATAAATATTAATGAATATCTCTTACCATGCATCGCACGAGTACGAAAGATAAGTAAAATTATTATTATTATTTTGTTTTGTATGAACATATAAATATGTGTTAAAATATTATTTACATTAATACAAACAGATCAATGGACTAATATGTTATTAAAATAAAATTTAAAAAAAAAAAAAGTAGATTTGATGTATAAGTAGAAGAGAGTTGATGTGAAGTGATAGTTAAAATTATGTGAGTGAATGAATAGTGAATTGAAATTGATGTGATATGTAAAAAAAATTAATTAGTATTATTTAATTATATTAAAGATAGTGTGATTGTATAAAATTAGGTTAGTATTTTTTTTTTGTGTGTCGTTTTCTTTTTTGCACTTCATTTGAATTTTGTTTATGTTTTTCAATGTCTTCCACTTGGTATGTATAGCCTAACAACAGGTTTACAATGGTAGTAGTATTAGTCAATGAACCGTGGTAATGCACAGGCACAACACGTCTTCGTCACCAAGCTTTGATATGTAGAAACATTACTAAATGCTAGAAATACCAAAATACTCAAAGCCAGCTAAAGATCAACTGATCATCAAACAAAGCTCAAACAGCGTGATTGAAATCCAAAGCTAGCTTTTGAGCAATGATTAAGCATATGAAGCAACACCAAACACATAGTTATGAATTCCGGAGCAAACTTAGAGATCAAGTCAATTATTCGAACATGCGATCATGCTGCACCTACAGCAATACTTTTAATTAACTCATACAATAACTCTGACATATTGCAACATGTAACCAGAANTGGAGATCGATAAAGAAGAAGAAAAGAAAATGACGGGAGTAAGAAGAAAGAAGGAAAAAAAAAAAAGAAAAGAAAAGAAAAAAGAAAAAAGAAAGTGATTATTTTACTTTTTGGCATATGTGATGGCCATTGGATAATCGGTGATTCTGAAGCCCTGAAGGCTCTCCATGGCAGCTAAGGCCGAGGCCTCGTTTTCATATTCCACAAAGGCAATACCCGGCTTTGCTTCAATCATTCTAACTTCTCTATAGCCATCAAACTTTTTGAAAAACAATTCCAGGGTGAGACTATTTGTTTCTGGCGGTAGATTTTGAACAAAGAGAATGTTATTGGGCTCAGTGACTGCCTCTTGTGTGCCTGGCTTTCCTGGCCGAGGAGCAGCCTGCAATCACCAACATTCTTAAGTCATAACAAGTTCTATTAACGACAAAATCTACCAAGGACTATGAATAACTCACGATCAGAGATATTATATGCAATGGATTTGGTAGCCGATAGGAACTAAAAACCCTGCTAAAATATGACTGCTATAATATAATATAGATATATAGAGAGAGGTAGATGCATTACAAGTACAAACTATTATATATGTTGTGATCGCACTATTAAAAGTTATATGGTACCCAATTAAAAGTAGCATGATCTTCAATGTATTTTAGCTGGGTATTAGCTGGGTAGCTACTTCGTACATTAAGAATAATTCTTTGTAGATCCTAACCCTATATATATATATATATATATCAACGTATATGCCACAAGAAGCTCATAAAATTGGCCTGGATAAGGATCTTTGTTGTGTGGTGTCTGCATGGGTTTCACAACAATTACACAAGACAAAGCACGAATATTCAGGATAAGAAAGGAATCCTCACATCAAAGTCTCAATATTCATTTAGCTAAACTAACACAAAGCACTTTTGGGGAAAAGGACAACTGGAATGGCTTTATCTGCCACATATTAAAGCTTCAAGGCACAAGTTGTACTTATTTTCACAACGTGCCAGCATAAGCTATTTGGTAAAATGTACTGTATTGATTCATTCAAGGAAAAAAAAAACTCACAGATGGGTCTCCATTAGTGTCAGCTTTGGAACCATTAGCAGTGGCAGTCTGCTGACCTTCTTCAGCACGTTTCTTTCTCTCAGCTGGATAAGCCAATAAATATTTGTTGCAAGAAAACATTATGCAACGGACTCAGTAAGCCATAAAGAATTGAAATGCTTTAGCTAAAGGTTAAGAAGTTATTGCAACTTTTGGTAATCTACTGCACATGAGAAAACGAAACAGCATCATCTCTAACTTAAACATACAATCTACATTCAGTCACTTCTGTGCCAAATTTTACATCAGAAACAGGTCCTCTGACTTGAGGGAACAAGCAGTCTTTTTATGAACTTGCTTCATCACCATACTGTAACTCAATTGATAAAATAAAAATAAAAATAAGTTTACCACAAAATTATGCAAATTTAAATTATTTAAATCCATGAACTAGCTCTGCCTCCTTGATCACCATGGAATATTTCATATCTGGTACATGTGGGATCAAATTGCTAAAACCTTTAAAGAGAAAATGGAAGCATGCTAATATTAATGAGGTGAAATATGGGCCTCCAATGAGTGAATAATGCATTTGCATAAAGCTCACATAAGGATCTAATATCTGTGCTAAGTAAATTTTACACTTACATTCCAAGCAACATTCACACATGGAATACAAAGAGTCAGTGAGAAAGAGAATTGGCTAAAATCGACAAAATATTACCTTTCTCCTCTTGCTTCTTTTTCTTGTCATAGGTACCCTCTGCTTTAGCAATACAATCTGATTGTGTTTTAGCATATTGGATCCTCTGCATGGCATGTTACATTAGAAGGTCTAACCAAATAAATCAAACAAAAACAGTAAAAAGAAAAAGAAAAGGACAAAAAAAAAAGTATAGTAAGAAAAAACATGGGTATTATAAAATACACTGCCAAGAAGAGGAAAAATTACATGAATGAAACTGCATGGTGCATGCATTGTATTTATGATGCCATTGATTGAACTTCATTTCATTTGAGAAAGATGAATGTTATTTACATGGAGACTGCTAACACAATAACATTTTCAAATAATGTGGATTCTGAAGTGAGTAATAAACAAACTTGATGCATGCTGATGCTTGTACCGCCATAACTTCTCACACAGATACCAAAATCAATACATGACAAGTACTTCTCCAAAGAATAATGACAAAAGGCAGTTTTAATATATAAG